ACATGTACATCTACTGGGAATGCACTTCTAATAGAGTAAATATGGTACATGTACATCAGATGTTCCCTCTCGCAGTGAACAGAAAATCACCTATTTTGGTTGATGGAATATTTTATGATATTGAAAGTCACCTCAATGTTCAGGTTTTCCATTACAACTGTGTGGCTGTTTTACTGAGTGTACTACTTTTATTGGTGTGTTTACAGTTTTCGTTTAATAATTGACTATAGGGCCATGCAAGAACTGACCTTACTCAGCCCAGTGATGTATCAATACCAGCAGTACTACGCCGTATATCTAAGCTGAGACAGCACAGATTGAAGACTGCAAAGTGTCATCACTACAGTGAATTTTTGTGTATTCTAGAAAGAAGATACATATCTCTGGTAATATCTAGTGGTGGTGAATATCGGTTGAAATTATCTGGTGAGTTTATTATATTATCCACAAACTTTTTTTCCATGTTCATTGTGTATTTGAACATGCATATGTTATATAACTTGGGACTGTCCAAAAGTGGTCACTATCGGCAGGTGTTCTTTATACACATGTTGCTCTTAAGTTATGCCCTAGGACTGTCCAAAATTGGCTGCTAATTTTGTGTATGCCTTGGGACTGTATGAACGTGATCACTGTATACAGATGGTATTTAAACATGGACTGTTCGTACGTTATGTTCTGGGATTATCTACAAGTGATCAATATAGGCAGGTGTTTTAATACTCATAAATGGCTCATGTGGTATATATTGGGACTGTCTAAGTGTGTGGGTGCGAGGGTGGTCTTTATACACAAGTTGCTTATATTTGTGTGCCCTGGAACTGCCTAAAAGTGGTCACTATGGGCAAGTGGTCTTTAAACTCAGATTGTTCATAAGTTATGCACTGGGACTCTCCAAAAGTGGTCACTATAGGAGTATGGTCTTTATTCATTGGTTATATATGTCTGCCATGGTTGCTGGACCACTGTTTCTGATAGCAAAATTAATTCATGATAGTCCAAGAAGTTTGTTAAATTTTCTGTCTGTGTCAATATTAAGATGTAAATTGTTTTATATTTGAACGAAAAAATATTTTATTTCCACAGTTGTTGACTGTTTTAATTCAATCTTGGCAGCATTACAGAGATGCAGGCCCAATCAATAACTTTGTTAAAAATAGGTTATTTATCATCTGATCAAGGTTTCTCTGTTTACTTGTTACCCTGGTGATAATATCATAAAAAGTCTGCCTTGGTTGACAAACTGCTGTTTCCGATAGCAAAATTCATTCATGACAGCTTAAAAAGTCTGTCTTGGTTGACAAACCACTGTGTCTGATAGCAAAATTCATTCATGACAGCTTAAAAAGTCTGTATTGGTTGACAAACCGCTGTTTCCGATAGCAAAATTCATTCATGACAGCTTAAAAAGTCTGTCTTGGTTGACAAACCACTGTGTCTGATAGCAAAATTCATTCATGACAGCTTAAAAAGTCTGTCTTGGTTGACAAACCGCTGTTTCCGATAGCAAAATTCATTCATGACAGCTTAAAAAGTCTGTCTTGGTTGATAAACCGCTGTTTCTGTTAGCAAAATTATTTCATGACAGCATAAATAGTTTGCCTTAGTTGAAAGACCACTGTTTCTGATAGTAAAATTATTTCATGATAGTCCAAGAAGTTTGTTAAATCATTTGTACCAATAGGTGTAAATTGTTTTATACTTGAACAAAAAAAAATATTTCCAAAGTTGTTGACTGTTTCAATTCAATCTTGGCAAGATTACAGAGATGCAGGTCCAAACAATAACTTTGTGAACAATACGTAATTTATCATCTGATAAAGTTATCTCTGTTTGCTTGTTTCCCTGGTGATAATATGAGGTCATTGTGGTTATTATTGGCTACTGTAATATTATTCATGATTTAAACTGGGCTTGGCTCATTCTGCCGACAGTAGTCGTCAATGATACACTAGTGTACAAGAACAATTTGGACCAGCGGTATATACTAGTATCTGGTAAGGACTTCATATGCTGTACATAAAATATAGGTGTGTATCTTACATAGCGCCTTCATTTTTGGCATAAATACTTGGTTTGATACTTAATGTTTCCATCATGTCAGGTACTTTATGTGGACCTCACTTCTTTTTGAAAACTACCTTTCTAAATACTTTGATACTTGATATGTAGGTACATTGCACGTATCTCTGTTTGGTAAATGATAATATTCTAGAATTGTTAAAAAACTACCAGCTGAATTGCATTTGATGCTAGGGGTTATCTGTCAGATTTGTTCATTTCATGCTATTATCTTCAATTTTTTATTTTTAGCAAATATTTTTGTTAAATAATGATATTTTAGACTTTTTAAAAATTACGAGCTTAATTGCTTTGATGCCTCGTAGTAGGTACTGGTACTATGGGTGGCTCTCTGTCTCTCTGATTTTTAGCTCCACTGTCAACTTTGTCGAGCGGAGCTTATCATATGACTGATTGTCCATAGTCTGTCGTCCATGTCAACTTTTTCGACTTCTTTTTGAAAACTACAAAGCCTGAATGCTTTGATACTTGGTGTATATGTACCTTTGTTAGACCTCTTTCAGATTTGTTCATTTTGTGATGATATATTCAATTCTTTAATATAACTAGCCAGAAAACAATGCGCATCACGTAAAGAAAGTTAACGAAGGTGTTTCAACTTATGTGTACAATCCATAAAAGTGTTCTATAAAAACAAGTTTGCAAACGACCCAACGATGTACCCATCGTTCTCAGTTTTTCTGTGTATGAGATCAGCACCGTCTATAGACCGAGCCAATGGAAACAGACAAGTCAGCAGATTTTCTTCATGACCATTTAGCAACAATCTGGTTTTGTGTTCAGTATCCGGTAGACTGCTGCATTCATGAGTGGGTGTATTAATTTTTGCGCGACGATGTACATATTACCGAGCGTGCGATGTTTCAAATCATGGCATATGGAGCTATAGCTCTGTGTTTGGCGCGAATGACCGAACAGACTAACGTGTACTTTGTTTGAAATTAAATTGTTATATTGTATTTCAACAAGTAAATTGTAATCCTTTTGAAATGATGTTGATAGCAGTTGTTGTTTTGCAGGATTAGCGGGACAGGGGGTAAGATAAGCATTCATTTACTCAGTGGACAGAGGCGGAGTTAATTACCCATGAACAATTGGTGTAATCCAGGGATTTAGCGGTCCTCCTTTAGGGATTAGTTATCACATTATAGTGAAGCTTGGAACATGTATCCTGGAACAATACAAGATTTCCTGTTTGTTTCAATCACACTTTGTATCATGATCCTGCATATCGGCTTACAGGTAGACATAATTACTTCTCGTTCACGACAGCATAACAAGTTTGCCCTGGTTGACAAAACGCTAGTTCTGATAGCAAAATTAATTCATGACAGCCTAAAAAGTCTACCTTGGTTGACAAGCCACTTTTTAGCTCCGCTGTCGACTTTGTCGAGCGGAGCTTATCATATGAGTGATTGTCCGTCGACGTTCGTCGTCGTCCATCGTCGTACGTTGTCGTCCGTGTCAATGTTTTACTTTTTCGACTTCTTCTTGAAAACTACAAGCCTGAATGCTTTGATACTTGGTGTATATGTACCTTGGGTAGACCTTTCTCAGATTTGTTCATTTCATGATGATATCTTCATTTCTCTAATTTTGGTGAATATTTTTACCATTTTTGGTAAAAAGTGATATTTTCGACTTCTTGTTAAAAACCAATAGTTCAATTGCTTTGATATTACATATATAGATACTACATGTAGACCTTTCTCAGATTTGTTCATTTTGTAATGATATCTTCAATTGTCTAATTTTGGTGAATATTTCTGTCATTTTTGGTAAAAAGTGATATTTTCGACTTCTTGTTAAAAACCGAAGTCCAATTGCTTTGATATTACATATATAGGTACTACATGTGGACCTCTCCCAGATTTGTTCATTTTGTAATGATATCTTTAATTCTCTAATTTTGGTGAATATTTTTACCATTTTTGGTAAAAAGTGATATTTTCTACTTCTTGTTAAAAACTGCAAGTCCAATTGCTTTGATATTACATATATAGGTACTACATGTGGACCTCTCGCAGATTTGTTCATTTTGTAATGATATCGTCAATTGTCTAATTTTGGTGAATATTTCTGTCATTTTTGGTAAAAAGTGATATTTTCGACTTCTTGTTGAAAACCGCAAGTCCGATTGCTTTTATATTACATATATAGGTACTACATGTGGACCTCTTTCAGATTTTTGAATTCCGTGGTAATATCTTCAATTGTCTAATTTTGATGATTATTTTTGTCATTTTTGGTGAAAAGTGATATTTTTGAAGTCTTGTTGAAAACAGCAAGTTTCATTGCTTTGATACTATACATATTGTTCATTTTCTAATGATATCTTCTGTTCTTTTATTGAAATGTGCATTGCTAACAGCGGAGCTATCTTAGCCGACTGGCTGCTTGTTTTTGATAGCGAAATTATTTCATGACAGCATAAAATGTCTGCCTTAGTTGAAAAACCAAAATTAATTCATCACAGTTCAAGAAGTTTGTTTTCTTTTGTCGTGTCTCAATATTAAGATGAACACAGTTGTTGACTGTTTCAATTCAATCTTGGCAACATTACAGAGTTGAAAGCCCAATCAATAACTTTGTGAACAATACGCAATTTATCATCTGATAAGGTTATCTGCGTTTGCTTGTTACCTTGATGATAAGATGAGGTCATTGTGGTTATTATTAGCTACTGTAATATTATTCATGATTTAAACTAGGTTTGGTTTATTTCGCCGACAGTAGTCGTCATTGTTATACCAGCTAGTGTACTAGAACAATTTGGACAAACTTTATATCTGGTAAGAATTTTTTACACTCAGGCTGTTCATAAAATACAGGTTATTATCCGTGATAAATAGAGCCGGCTATAAATACTTTCCATAATGTAGGTACCTTTGGGTAGACCTGCCTGATTACTTTGATACTTGATATGCAGGTACATTATTCTTTGGGTGAACCTCTGTCAGATTTGTCAATTTTGTGACGGTAACTTCAATTGCTTTGATACTTTTGGTACCCATACTGGACGTGAACACTTCATTTGATGTTCTATTCATTTTGCTGAGACTGATGTAGTTTTTCAATTGCTGAAAATCCATTGTTAAAACACATTTTAGGGTCAGACCAATTGCCATATAATGATTATTAAAGTCACCTAATTTTTCAGGTTTTGTTTTATAAGTGTAGGACTATTCTGCTGATTGTACTGCTTTTATTGGTGTTTTTTTCGTTTAATAATTGACTAGGGCCAATGACTGACCTTACTCACTGGTGTATCAATACCAACAGTACTAGGCAGTATATCTAAGCTGAGACAGGACAGAGTGGAGACTGCAAAGTTTCATCACTACAGTAACACTTTGTGCATTTTAGAGTGAAGATTCTTATTTCTGGTGATATCTAATGATAGTGAATATCAGTTGACATTATCTGGTGAGTTTATTAAATTAATCACGAACTCCATCTCCATGTTCATTGTGTATTTTGACATGCCGTGGATGCTCATACATTATATAACTTGCGAAGTGAAGTTGTCTATATACATAGGTTAGTCTTACATTATGTCTTTGGACTGCCTAAAAGTGGTCACTATAGGCAGGTGAGGTTGTCCATATACACAGGTTAGTCTTACATTATGTCTTTGGACTGCCTAAAAGTGGTTACTATATGCAGGTGAGGTTGTCCTTATGAACAGGTTACTCAGGCTATGCCTTGGGACTGCCTAAAGATGGTAACTATTTGCAGATGAGGTTGTCCATATACACAGGTTAGTCATACATTATGTCTTGGGACTGCCTAAAAGTGGTCACTATAGGCAGGTGAGGTTGTCTTTATACACAGGTTAGTCATACATTATGTCTTGGGTTGGGACTGCCTAAAAGTGGTCACTATAGGCAGGTGAGGTTGTCTTTATACACAAGTTAGTCATACATTATGTCTTGGTACTGCCTAAAAGTGGTTAATATAGGCAGGTGAGGTTGTCCTTATACACAAGTTAGTCATAAATTATGTCTTGGGACTGCCTAAAAGTGGTGACTAGGCAGGTGAGGTTGTCCTTATACACAGGTTAGTCATACATTATGTCTTGGCACTGCCTAAATGTGGTCACTATAGGCAGGTGAGGTTGTCCTTATACACAGGTTAGTCATACATTATGTCTTGGGACTGCCTAAAAGTGGTCACTATAGGCAGGTGAGGTTGTCCTTATACACAAGTTAGTCATAAATTATGTCTTGGGACTGCCTAAAAGTGGTGACTAGGCAGGTGAGGTTGTCCTTATACACAGGTTAGTCATACATTATGTCTTGGCACTGCCTAAATGTGGTCACTATAGGCAGGTGAGGTTGTTCTTACACACAGGTTACTCATGCTATGCCTTGGGAATGCCTAAAAGTGGTCACTAAAGCAGGTGAGGCTGTGTTTATACACAGGTTACTCATGCTATGCCTTGGGAATGCCTAAAAGTGGTCACTATTGGCAGGTGAGGTTGTCTTTATACACAGGTTAGTCATAC